TTTCACCCGCTCCAAGACAGACCTGTTCGATTAGGTACAGCTTCGTCTCCAGACTGACATCGCTGCTCCTTCTCTTCACTTCGCTTTATTTCCAGGAGTCCCTTTTTATAGCTTTTATTCTTTGCTATGAAAAGTCTACCCACTAAAAGCATATAGAATGACTTCCTATTTCTTCTACTTTCACACCATATTCTTTTTACATGTAAATACTTGTACTTGCTCTGCTGTTTCTTTTCCTGTATAGAGTGAAACTGGGACCAGATGTCTTTTCTTCCAGTCAACTCCTGTGATCTTCGGCACCACTGCTGCCGCTTGTCCTTTTAGTCTGTTCTCAACTGCAAACTCCAAAAACTGGCTGCAGACTCTATGTGCCTTCTTCCCTCTAACACCCCTTGGCCTTAAGAACCTTCCTTTGTTCCCCCTCTATAAAGTGCAGAGGTGAGGGTAAGGCCTACCTCGGTGGCTCTGCGACAGTGGTTGGACATTCGGCCGCTGACTTTGGAAGGGCTGTGCTTTGCCTCACGTTTGTCCTGAAGAGCAGCAGGTGGGTTCAGTGCGCGTCCACAAAGATCTGCAGCCTTGGAAACCCTGTGCAGAAAGCGAGAGATCTGATTTAGCAAGGAGAGGGTGGTGTGGGCGTGTTCACTCACTGCCGGTGAGCCTGTCTAGGAGGCAGTTTGGCAGTGTGTCTAAAGCAGCATCAAGATGTTTAAGCTTTCCACCAGTAACTCTGCACCTGGGAGTTTAAAAAGGATTGTTTGCTTTAGAATATGGATGTATGAATATTCAACAGAGTTTTGCTCAAGGAGAATAAATGAGAAGATAAAATAATTGTAGATGTAAAAAAGGAAAAATAAACCTCATACAATGAAATATTTCCTGGTCATTCTGTCTCGCGGGCATAGAGCCGACTCCTGCTCTCGGCTGGGCTCCACCGACCTCTCCTAGACAGTCGGCCGTCACGGGAGGAGGTGGCCTTACCTCTGGAGGAGCAGCTGTGGGAGGATTCAGACTGCCCAAGAGGCCCAGCACGCTTCTACTGACCATGCCACCAACACCAGTTAGTGTAGACTATGGCCATTTATGGACCATAATGATTTATAGCTCTTTGATGAGACAAAGATAGCTTATAATGTTTGAATTATTGTGAATGTGTCTGTGAAAAATGAAAATAATTGTGTATAGACCAGAGAGTTGGAATGCACTCCAGTCATTGTCAGATTTTTAAAGGCCAACAGGTGATTCTGAATAGTTATTTTGATCATTTTCTTTTCAGTGAACTTATAATATGTGCATACCAAATGCTGTAAGACTCAGGGAATTTGTTCTAATTGAGTAAGGGAACCAAATTTTTAAAAAGCAAGTAGCCAGCCCCATGAACTCTGCTGTGGCCTGCAGGATCAGGGTCACTATGAACTGAAATAGACTTGATGGCTGTGGGTTTTTCTGGTGTGACCGTGAGTCTTAGCTAAACTAGCCTTCCCTATTTCCTGCTTTCATCTTTGCAGTTACTCTTTTTCCTTGGGTTTATTTTGTCTGACTTCTTATTTCATTTCTACCTGTTTTTAATATTCATACTTGACTCATTTCTCATACTTTAGTAACTTAAGCGCTTAAGTTTGGGGACTTCCTTCAACATTGCTTTCCATATGCCGTTTTGAATTGACATTTTCAGTATTTAAAAAATAATCTATACTTTTCATTGACTCAAAGATTACATTTTCTTCCTCACATTTGAACATTTAAAATACAGAAAAGTAAAGACTAATATGAAATTCGCCTACCCCCATCTGTCCTACCCACAATGGCCACTGCTGTTTGTGTTTCTAAGTGTGCACCTGTCTAACTCCCAGCTGTATATCACTGTGTGTGTTCTCATTTAAAAGCCAAGGTAAAATAGAAAAGCAAACCACTGCAGATAAAGGCCCTAACCCGCAATCCAGATAATCTCTTTATCATAAATTTGGTGGTTCTTTTTTATAAAACTCAAGTATTTTTCCATAGCTCTGTATGCAAGAGTAGTATTTATGTTTTTCAGACTATGTAGATGATCTTAAATTACACTTAGAGTCACAGAATTTGTTCTTACACTCAACTATAGTTTTGTTTTTGTTCCTAGAAGTTCTCTTTGGTTCTTATTCCAATATGCCAGCTTGTTGGTTTGTGTTTTCTTTGGATATTTTTTTCCTTTAAACACAGTAAGAAAATGGTCCAATAATTACAAAATCTGAAGCGTTGAGTGTTTCTGAAGCTTGTACTCCTTCTCACTCATAGTTCCTCTTTACGTACCTGCTTATTCTGTGCTGTGAACTGCACATTTTCGTGGAAGAGGACCTGCGGGAATTGTCTGAGGTGTTCTCCTGAGATGGGAAGAAGTTTTTGCTTCTGTCCACACAGATGGTGAGGCTTTAGTCATCAAGGATGAGAACAATTTGCAATTATAGATTTACTTACTATTCATCTGCTCAACAAGGAATCTCTTCAGGATGGATTGTATTTACTTTCAGAACATCCCTCCTTAAGAGTATAGACCTTTGCAGGGAGCTCAGCTATACTGGGAAAGGGCCAGGTACAACATGAGGAAGTTGTTAATGAGTGTTGTCAAGTGGCATTCCCATCCCATGCGACCCTACAGGAGAGAGCAGAACTTGCCTGGAGGGTGTCCAAGGTTCACGTGACCCTACAGGACAGTGCAGAACTTGCCTGGAAGGTGTCCAGCGCAGCCATCTTTACTATGGGAGGCGGCCACGTCATTTTCTTGTGGAGCTGCAGGGTTCGAACCACCGACCTTTCAGTTCTTAGCCAAGTGTTTTACAACTGCACCACCAGGGTCCTTAGTCTGTTTGACCTGAACATTGATTCCTGTATTCTTTATTTTCAAAAAGTGTCAAACTAAAAACTCAGGTGTCAAAATTTTGGCAAATATCTTCAGCTTCATTCTCAGAAGTGCTTTCCTCTTAAATATCTTACTACTATTTTACAACCTTGTAACTCTTATGCATTAAGAAAAAATAATGTCTACTTTAAGCACCAACTTTAATGATTATTAAAAAGTAGCTTGAACCATCCTAGCCTGCTGTTTCTGTAAGTGGAAGGCCAATTGTGGTCACTTCTGAAATAATCACAGTATTTTGGTGCCGAACACGTGGTAAATGTAAAACGGCAGTCAGCAAGGACCAGGTGTTACGTGGCCTTTATTCCTAAAGTTTGCCACATTCCTTCCACGAGACCAGGCGGAGAACTGGGACTTGTAAGCCTTTCCCTTGCCGGGGGCTCCTCCCTGTCTGTAGGGGGGCCCCTGCTTCAACTTGGCTTGCTCTCCACACGGCTGTTTACAAACTTGAGCGTGGCTTCCTTGACGCAGTCAAAGACACTTGCACTTGACACCTGACTGTTGCGTTCTTTCAGCCGGGCTCCAGTCGCTGAGGCGGTGCGTGCTCTGAGACACTCACCTGGAATGCTTTTACATCAGCTGAGGGTTGGTGGGGGTGGGGAAGGTCGAGTCCGAGGAGGATGAAGATGCACCATGCCGTGGGAGGGCTTCACGGACCCAAGAGCAGTGCCCAGTACTCACGGCTGTGCAGCCTAGCTCCCATGATCCTCTCTGCAAAACCAAGGGATGTGGCGGGGTGGAGGTTCTTGTGTGGTATGTCCACTAAGAAACATTGACCTACAGCCAGTCATACTGCTTTTAACTGTTGACAGCTGCCAGACATCTCCACCTGTGCAACTTGCTTGTTCTGTTCCATTGAGTCACCTGTGACTCGTAGCAACCCTGTGTACAATAGGACTGAACTCTGAACCAGTCTCACTGACTCTGGCACACCAATCCCCATGACCCCAGTCACTGTGTCAATCCGTCTTATCTAGTGTCTTCCTCTCCTGCACTGTCCCTCCATCCTTCCAAACATGAGGACTTTCTCCAAGGACTGACTCCTCTGGGCCACGTGCCCAAAGTATGTGAGACAGAGCTTCAAAGTCCTTGCCTCCAGGGAGCAGCCTGCTTTCACCGTCTCTAGAGCAAACCTGTTTGTTTTCTTGGTGGTCCATGGCATGTTCAGTGCTCATCGCCAGCACAACTCAATGGCATCAATTCTCAAAAGATCTTCTCAAATCATCCTTAGTCATTGTCCTGCTCTCTGATGCATAGCAAGTCATTGCAAAGACCATGGCCTGCATCAGGCACACCTTAGTCTCTAGACTGACATCATTGCTCTTTAGCACTCTGGAGAGGTCCCCAACAGCAGATTTTCCCAATGCAATTCATCTTTTGATTTCCTTACTGCTGGTCCCAAAAGTGTTGATTGCGGAGCCGAGCAAGGTGAAATTTTAACAATCACAATCTTTGCTCCATCTGTCATGGTGCTGCCAATTGGCCCAGTGGTGAGACTCTGTCTTCTTGATGTTGAGCCTCAATCCATACTGAAGACTCCAGTCTTTTTTACTTTCTTCAGCAAATGATTCAGGTCCTCCTCAGTTTCAGAGGCAAGCAAGGTTGTTTCATCTGCGTAATGCAGGTTGTTCATGAGTCTTCCTCCAGTTCTGATGCCGTATTCCTCATAAAACCCAGCCTCTCGAATCATCTATTCCTCATACAGTTTGAAAAGGTAAAAGGTATGAAAAAGCCTTTCAGTCTGTGAAATTTACTGCCTCTGAAAAACCTGCTCAAAGGCCAATTGTGAGTTGGTCCCTATTCTACAGGTTCCTATTACGGCAGGACAAAGTGGGATTTCCTGGGCTGTCTGTCATCTTTAGAAAGAATCTCTGTGTCCCCTAAAGGCCCATGCCTGGGGGCCTGTGACTACAGACTTCAACCGTTAAGATTATGTAGTGTCCGAGAAATTCTGGCAGATGAGCCGCCTGGGCCAGTGCATCCATTGTGTGGAGGGACTTCCCCAGGTCCTACAGTCCACTGCCCTCGACCCTGTCCAGGACCCCAGGTCCGAGCCTTGCTGCAGGTGACAGGTGCCAGTGACTCTGAACCTTCTGCTTTACCACAGGGAACTCGGAAGCCACACCCCCCGCAGAAGCCTCTGCCAGCTGACCCCTTGAGCAAGATGACTCGACTCCCCACTGCCTCTGGGAGGACCCCAGGACTGCCGGAGTCTGGCCTTCCCCTGGCTCCTCTCAGGTGAGTGTGTCCAGGTGGGGCACCGCTTGCACTATATATGGGGCGGCGCAGATGTGCTTTTCAAACCACCTTGAGGTGAGCTCCCCGAGCATCTCACACTGGAACCAGGACAGATGGAAAACTGACCGGGCAGTCCTGACTTCACTGTCTCCAAGTTGAGCACAACCTGTAGTGACCCTGTGAACAACAGCTCTGAACCCTGTCTTCTCCTGCGCCATCCTCCGCTTTGACACAGGGGAGCCCACTGCTGCAGTCACCGTGTCAGTTCAGCGAGCCGAGGGTGGTCTTCGCTGCCTGGTGGTCAAAGCCAGTGTTGAGGAGAAGGAAACCTGCCAGGTGCTGGCCCTGCTCACCGTCAAGAGCTGTGCTGGAGCTGACTGTGGTGGACGTGTCGTCAGTCCATCCAACAGGAGCCTCCTTAGTCACAGACGTTGCCTTCAATGTCTCTAACTACAATGTTTGTTTTCTCCTCTCGTCTCTCGACTCAGACCTGTTCCTCAGCATGCACGTCAAGTGCCCAGACCTGCCTACAGCAAGTGAGGAAGAAGCCAGTCAACCCCTGTCCCACCAGTGAAGACAGAAGTTTGCACTATCTTCCAACTCCGGTTGGAGTGACTCTTTTTGTACCAGCTTTGAGGATTTTTAGTGTTAAGAACACCTTGTAAGGGCTTGGAGCCTCTGCCGTTGGTGCTGTGCTGTGGTGCTCTGTAACCTTGCTCAGGTACTTGTAAATTATTAATTTAAGCTGAATGTTTACTGCAGTGCAGGGCGCTGTGGCGTATCCTGACCACCCCCGAGTTCTCAGAGGGTAGGCTTGTGCCTTTGCTCTTCTCAAGAACTTGGCCTCTCCTGCGTTTGTAGGAAGATTAGTCTTCAGTAGAGCACCGATGTGAACGGTCCACAGTGACACATGGCTGGGGTCTGTACCAGACCCAGCTCCAGAGACCTTGGAGATGCTTGAGCGAGGCTCCAGAAGCCGCTTCTCTGGCCCCAGCCCAGGGGGCTCCAGAGCTGGGCTGTGCTTGGCGTCAGGGAGGTCCTTTCGTGGCTGGACCTTGATGTCTGGGCAGCAGAGAAGGGTCTGGTATCTTGGCCAGAGAGCTCTGGAGTGGACCTGAGGTGCAGACAGGAATTTTCAAGTGTAGCCACATTGGGACAGGAAGTGGTGCATGGGAGCTGGGCGGAGGTGCAGGCCAGCCAGCCAGGAGCACCTCTACAGACAGGCATGGGAAAGCTTTGCGGTCCTGCTCCGGTTTCGTCTTTAGAAACACCGAGACTGCCTTTTCCTGGCTTCCCGTAAGAGTGCACTGGCCTCAGCACACTGTTGAGACTGGGGAAGGTGGTTTCTGCAAGAAAGCTACTGCCCAGGCGTTGAGCATTCCACCTCCCTGTGCACCTGGGAGCTAAGCAGAGTCCCACCTCGTCTCCTAAGCTGTAATGCGAGGAGCCTGAGCTCCAACAGAGAGAGGAGCTTTCCCACGGGGCATCATGGGTTTCAGACGTGAACCAGTAACCAGATCTCGTCAGTCAATTCACTACATACACACCTGTGACCACAAGGTTCAACTCATGAGAAATTAGGCGGATTCCTTACACTCGTACAAACTGGAGCCGCATGGTGTGCTGTGATCATGGGGGGGGGGGGTGGCTGTTCACCGGCCTCACTCTGAACCTTCCACTGAGAATGCAGGTACCATTGGGGTGTCTTACTTTCTTAGCTTCACTGCAGCAATCCTCAAAAGATCATTTAACCTAGAATCTCCTTTTTAAAACACTTGCCGCCCTACCTGTTGAGTAACATCGAAGGGATAAGGAAATCAGCCTGCTAATCCTGAGACCCATGGAGTGTGGGCTTGGACAGCAGCTCTTCCCACGAGGGGACCTATAAGGAGCTTATAGTTAATGACATCAACAATTCAGAGATACCTACACAAGGTGAAGGCCATTCTCCCTCTCCCCCGCTCAGTGGGGCACTCGTCTGCACTATACAGAGCAACACAAATCAGTAAATCAGAGCATGTGTGACAAAGGCTTCTTTGAGGTTTAGCAGTCTAAGATCTTCAAGCAGACAGGAAAATGTACCAAGAATCTCGGGGGGTTTTCCAGAAAATAGGAGTGCGCTTCCCTCCCACCCCCACTGGGTTTCCCCACCGCCTCGAAGCAACATTGATTATGGGTAAACCAAATAAACCCCCGTCTCCAACACAGCTTCAGGACATTCCAGTTCCTGCACTGGGCATCTGTTCACTATAGTGATTTTTCTAATACAAATGTAAAGCCATTTTTTTTAAAAAAATCGATATTGCTGGTGAGATATGTAGAAAATTGCTGTAACAGGTACTATATTGGCTAATAAGGTCACAGCAGATACATTTGAAAGAATTTACAATTTTTGTGCTACATTGTACAGGCGTTGTCTTTAGAGAGGTTCAGAGCCATAGATGTTCCTATTTCTTGTAAGAGGACGTGAACTTTGATCCCTTTTCTTGGCTGCAGTCCTTACACTTCTATTTCAGATGACAAGCAGTCGTTTGATAGGAAAAGAGGTTAAAGCTGCGATCACATCATCAGCGGCCACGTAGGGGCTGTGGCCAATGACACATCCAGTCTCCAGAGTACTAATCACTGTTACCAAAGCACGCAGCCTTCTGAGCAAAAGCATCCTTAGACCTGCTGCTCCTTCCAGTCGTCAGTACTGCGGAGTGTACTTCCAAGGTGCCGTATTTATCACAGGGATCCTAGTTCACAGTAGCTCCTATTTCTATAACGGGAAAAGCAGTGCTAGCCAGGTTGAGGGGAGCCACTCCCCTTTTTCTAGTTCTCACAGATCAGATGGAAGCAGGAACCACAAGCAGATTTCCATGGCAGCCTGATGACTCCTTGGTATTTCAGATATTTTACAGGCATGGACGGTACAAGTGACCTAAGTCAGTGAGCGGGTCCGAGCCGCAGAGCGGCCCCAGTGTCCTGCTCTCTGCTGGTGCTGAGTCATGCGACCCCGCTTGACTGAGCGGTGCATGACTGACCAGGCTGTTTCAGATTTCTCTCCTGGAGTCTTTCCCAGCGTGGGGACTCAGACATGTAGGAACCACGACAGGTAAAGTACCTGCGTGTGCTCGACCAGCACGCCCGACGTTCTCCACTGTCTGAGCAGCAGCTCCCCATCCCAGGGAGAGCGCTTCCAGCTCCCACATGCGGGATGACATCACAGAACCCAGGAGCAGCAGTTCGGCTCACAGGGGACCTTCTTTAGGCCTTAACTTTACTAGGAACTCTCAGGCTCAGCATGTTGTCCCCTGGCAATCGGTACAGCAGCACAGTCCACCCCACACCTGAAAGACTCTCATCAGACTCGGGTCTGTGCCAGGATATTCTTGGGAGCCTCTGGTCTCCCACGGTGCTACAAGGACCCGGGTCTGGACCACCTCTTAGCGGCTGTTTACAAAGCATCTGAGCCAATGGGCCCCTGCTGGCCACTGAAAGAGCCAGGGTCTGGACAGCGGTGCTCTAACTGCCTCATAAGCCTGATTTCATTTTAACATTCCTGCTGGGTGGACTTCCTGGACACACTCATCCACTCCCAGGACCCCCAACATCCTTCCTCACCACTTTCAGCTCAGTCCTCCACCACCACCACGGCAGCTCAGGGCCATGCAGGTCCCGACTCCGCTCCTCCCCACCACGGCTCCCTCTCTATGCAGGAAACCTGCCCAGAGAAGCCATGCTGCCCCTTATCAGCATTCCATAGGCACAACAAGCCTGGGCGGTGACTCCCGGTCACCCATAGCCGGGCACGCAGTGTGCTCCCCATGAACCAGAATAAGCCCCACAGTCGCTAAGAGCACCAGGTACAGACACACCTGGTGCTGCAGTCGCCCTGACCGCCTGCGGCAAGCCTGCTTCAGACACGTCTGCTGGGGCCATCTTTCCAGCGGCACAAACTCCTTCATGCCTGTAGATAATGCTCATAATATCACAAACTTTACAATAATGCTATCACGTACTCAAAAGATGACATACAATTATAGTGTAAACGTATCTTTCACGTGCACTTCTTGTCATGTAGCGTCAAGTCAGAACCTACTCCTAGCTGACCCTCCAGTGGGTTTTCACTTAGTGGGTAAATCACTCGGGAGGAAAGTGCCCATCCTTCTCCACGGAACAGCTGGTGGATTCAAACCGTGTGCCTTTAGGTTGGCAGCACAACTTCTCACCACTGGGCCACCAGAGCTCCCGTTCACATGCAGTAGGAAACCACCACTGAAGACTGACTGACTGCAGTATACCTACCGGTATGGTCTGAAAGCCAGAGGTGTGGCCTGTGAAGTCCACTCCTCAGGCCAAGCCTAGGGCCTGTGCTGCCTCCATGTCTGGCAAACCCCTGCTCTCAAAGCTCCCCAGGTCAGTACTGCGCTCCCTGCCAGGCCACCCCTGACTTCCCAACGCCCACTTACATACACCATGGGGCCCAGCAGAACCTCTCCCCCCAGAGACACAGCCCCCAGCGGTCTCCTGCCCAAGAACTTGTTCTAATCAGAAAGGGGGTTGGTGATAGAAAAAGATGGCAAAATTCCCTACATCTGTTCTCAAGTCCCTATCAACAGCTGCCACTTTCAAACGTGAAGCCCCTAATAATAGCAATACAGGCCCAAGCTCTATGTCTGTCTCAAGAAGCAAACCAAGAACAGTAAGAGGTAGCATTTGTGAGCCCACCTGCTGAGAACCACCGCTAAGCAGTAAGATACTCCCAGAAGCCATGGCCTGTATGTCAGTGCATCGCTGCCTTGCCTTAAATAAAAGATATTCCTTCCCTTTTCTTCTGGACCAGCAGCAGCTATGCTATGGTCTTTAGACCATGTTTCCTATGAGGAAAAACCGCTGTCAATGAAAATGTGACCTCACTAAGCAATCGATAGAGCGAGCCAGAAAGCGGACCACGCAAAATCCCAGGTTGATGTGATTCAGCTCGTCAAAGCTCAGTCAGTACCTGTCAGGCCAGTTGTC